TCCCTACCTTGCCCACCTTGGGCTGTTGGCTTCACTTTTCTACTCAGTTTCCTTATTTGTAAATTGGACATAAACAAAGCTGGTACTGAGGGCTGTTATGAAAATTACATTTTAAAAAATAATTACATGACATAGAGGTGCAATATGATGAGCTCCTGTATTTTGTGTGGTGTTTTTATGTTAAGTCTAACTTCTCATTCAGATGTTTAGCGTTTGTGTGAACGTACGTGTGTGTATGTTTGTGTGTGTGTGTGTGTGTGTGTGTGTGTGTGTGTGTGTATCTATTTGCCTTGGCTGGAAAGGACGTTTAAGAGCTATAGTTCTGGATCCAGACTTCTGAGTTCAATTCTGGCTGTTTTAAACTATGTAAACCTGAGCAAATTGCTTAGCCTCTTTGTGACTCAGTGTTTTCATCTGTAAAATAGGAATAATGATAGTATCCATCTCACACGCCAGTGTGAGGATTAACTGAGTTGGTAACACATTAAACACTGTGGCAGTGTCTGCCATGAAAGAAACACTTCTATAAATACTTATTCCACTTATTTTTTGTTAATAAATAAAATTTTTATTATATACTTGTTTACTTAAAAGCTTGCATGTATTATTTTTCACATCAAATCTTTCCCATTTCCTTTACCCACCTCCTCCCTCCACCCATCAAGTTGGGCAGCCCTATGATTAACGCCTACCTCTCCCTTCCCATCCTCACCCCTCTGCTCTCATCCTTCTCCCCTTGGATCCCCACACACGTTCTACAATAATGGTTTTATACAGCATTTGTCCTTATGGGACGGAGTGAGAGCATCCACTTACTCTTAATATTATTTTCAAGTCCCACAATGAGTTCTTCCAAGCTATCTCTTAAGTTGGTTGGTTTGAGAAAAGTAAAAATATTTTGGACACCGTTTTACTACTGGAAATAAACAAAGTAGAGGTCACAAAGGGTCTCTTTGACCTCCAGGGGTGCTCCCTGGGGTCGAGAAAGGAGAATTTTGCTTTGTACTGTAGCTCCCTCTATTGGGAGAGCCTAACTCAGCACCATGGACAGAGGGCGACAGGGTGGACAGAGCTAGACTGGACCAAAAGCATCATGGGAGAAAGCAGGGTCTGGGCGCATGCGGGGGAAGGAGAGGTAGGGGGTTGGGGCTCCCGCAAGGTCTGGTAGAGGAGGAGTCATGTCCCGCCGTGACTCATGGGTTTGAGCGCCAGGACTGCAAAGTGGAAGCCCTGCCACTGGCGGCCAAACCATTAGGAGACAGGAGCCGAAGGGTCGTTAAGGAAATTAAAAGCCTGTGGCTGCCCAGGGTGACTTCTCCTCTGGCTAAGTCACCCTGCTCCCTCTGCTAACTTACCTCTCAGTGCTTTGAAGACTCTTGTCCTCAGGGGCAAAAGAAAAGGCTCCAGAGGTGTGGTCTGTGAAGCAGAAACTGGAGGAGTGGGGCTCCCCAGGAGAGGGTGGTGGAGGGAGCAGGAGCTGGCATGTCATCCTTTTCCTGGAGGAATGGTTTTGCTATTGACGATTACCATATGGTAATAAACACACGTGGCAGCCAAGTCCCTTTGGGGAAGCCTAGCCTTGCACCTGGGTGGGATTTTCCTGGTGAGATCATGTGACGCAAGGGCTAGTCACTATCACAGAATGCTTACTAGTTCCCTATGAAGGGCAAGCCTGGTGCCAACAGAAAAGGAACAGAGTGAACTAGAACCAAGTGCCCAACCCTACCCTCCTCCATCAATGCATCATCCATCATCCATTCAGCAAATATTTACTGAGAGTCTTTTAATTGCCAGATACTGGTTAGGAAGATTAGTTATTATAATACAAGATGATGTTAACAGCCCACTCGCTACCACCATCAGGTTGCTTCTGACTCAGAGCAATCCCTCATCAGGGTTCCAAAGCTATAAATCTTAATGGAAGCACACTACCTCCTCTTTCTCCTGAAAAGCACTTGCAGGATTTGAACCACTGACATTTTAGTTAGCAGCCCAACAGAGAAGGCATGACATCATCAGGGAGCCTTAACGCTGATAAGAGTGAGGATAATTTAGCAATCCTGGGGCTGAGATTGAAGACCTACTATGTGCTAGGCCCCAGCTAGAAGACCAGCAATTACAATACATGATAATGTTTAAACAAGAGTGTGAATGAGTCAGAAACCCTAGAGTTAAACTTGAGCACCTACTATGTACCAGGCAGTAGCTAAATCACAGTAACTACAAGTCAGGGAGTGATGTTCACAGAGAGGGTTGTTGTTGGGTGCCAACTCATAGCTGACCTCCTACCTGCAGGTTTTCAGAGGCAATTAATTGCACAAGAGGAGAATGCCCATCCCCCCCCAAGGATCAGCTGGTGAATTCAAACTGCATGTCTTCGGGATTGCAGCCCAGCTGCAATCTATACTCTATAGAGAATATAGATGATTCAGTAAGTCCTGGGTTTGCAGGGGAGTGTCAGCTGAGGTTTCCAATCTGCGGGCTCAATCCCAGGTCCTAGGAAGCAACCTTTTCAGCATCAGGTCTTCTTTCCTCCCAATACATCTCTCCAGGATGCCAGTTACAGCTGGTGAAGCAGAGACAACTCTCTAGGCCCCTTTTGCTGCTCCCCAGGAATCTCTCTCCCAGAGCTTATTGTTGAGGGCTTGTCATTGTTAAGCCATAGCTGACCCTCCAGCCAATTTTCAGAGGCAGTGAATAACAGGTAGAGATTGCCTAGCTTTCTCCCATGGAGAAAGCTGGTGGATTAGAACTGTGTGTCTTTGAGATGACAGTGCAACTCCTCAGCCCTAAACTGCCAGAGCTCTATGAAGAGAACCTACAGGCTCCCTGGATCTCCTCTCCACTGACTGGTTTGCGGGGAGCACATCGAGGAAGCCTCCCAGATTCAGGGCTCACCTAATGAACTGTCATTGTCCATCTTCTTGCCTCGACTGTGCTCTGATTTGCTGTTGTGTCCATGGAGCCAGAACACCTGTCCAGAGATGCGTGGCTCTCACCTGCAGACATGGGGGTCTTCCTAGAGTGCTTGTTCATGAAGGCTTGGAGCCAGGATGGGTTTTTTATTCTGTTGGCTTTTTCCTGGGCCAGGAGATGAAAGAGAGGAAGGAAGGAGCGAGCAGGGAGGAGGTAGCCAGGAACTGTGCTCTTTGACAAGGTTAGGTCATCCAAAAAGGGGAAGAGGGGAAGTGACCTTAGAGTCACAACTTGGAGAAAGGAAGCCTGGGTAGGGTGAGGGAGAGGAGGGAGTAAGTAAGAAAGGGCCTACGACTCCAGTTCTCAAGCCACATCAGCCCCATCATCCTGGCAACCAATTAGTCTGATTAAAAAAAAAACCCATGTAGGGACAAACTGTAATCAAACACCTATTTATAAGGGTTTATTATGATCATTATTATTATTTTCCTGAGAGATCATTCTAAAGCCTGTCAGGTGAATGTATGCTTTCAGATCTTCATAAATGCAAATCGCTCCTTCCCTCACCCGGGTCTGGCAGGCTGGAGATGCAGCCAGGCTGCCTGGGAGGAAGCAACCTTGTGAAGCTGGAAGGTAGATGCTGCCACAGAGCCTTTCTGTGCTGGGCTCATTGGAGGTCACCCCCAAAATCCCTCACTGGCCACCCTCTCCCAGCCCTCAAAGGGCTGCTGGGAAGGAACTGGACCTGTACCCATTACTGATCTGAGTAAACTGAGCCACAACCTGATGCAGCAGCACCAGGGACAAAGCTAGAAAAAGCTGGACATTGTCTTTCAGCTGATGCCTTAGGGAGAACACCTGGTCAAGAGAGGAGAGCCCTGGGTCTAGTACTCGGCTCTTCCGGGGCTAGGCTGACATTTGACGGCCTCACCTTGCAAGTATATGGAGAAATTCCGTAATCTTTGCTTCCTGGTCCTGACCTAACTTCACCCCTGCTCACCCTAAAGTAACATGCAGGGAACCGCAACGGCACAGGGGTGTGGTGGGGGGTGTGTTGAGGAAGAAACAATCCCCAAATTCCCACTTCTCAAGTCTGGGGAGACTCCTATGAGAAAGGTGAAAGCTTATCTTTACAAATGGAGACGAGGGAGGGAGGCTACAGTTTGGAGATTCAAAGCTCTGACGCTCCCAGTACCCACCCTACCCCCTCTCTGTCCAGGACATTAATTGGAGGTTAAGGCTAGTCCTCCAGAGCCACACCTTAGGCTGTCTTGAACCTGGACGGTGGTGACACTGTCGGGGGAGGAAGCAGGGCCGGCTCCCTCCTCAGGGCGCAAGGGGAAGGGGGGTGTCCCAGTGATGAGGTTAGGTAAAGGGGGAGCGAAAGGAGTGTGGCTTCAGGAAGGGGTAGCTCACTCAGCCAGGGGAGGGTTAGAAAGGTAGAGTACAGCTGTGGGGGAGAGACACCTGGGGAGGGGAGGGGGCTGAGGGTGGAGGGAAGAGAAGAGGCACGGGTGGGGTGAGCTCTCCTTCTCCCCGCAATAAATCGGCTTAGCGGACGACAGCCGAACAGCCCAGAAAGGATTAAAGAAAAGTCTGTATAATACAGCGG